TGGGTAAGACGATAAACTACATCCGCGTCCTGGGTAAGACGATAAACTATATCCGCGTCCTAAGTAGGATGATAAACTACATCTGCTTGCTGGGTAAGACGATAAACTACGTCCAATAGCAAGGCTTCTGATCAGGATGTTTTGAGGACAGTGGAACTACTTTTAAACTCGGGTCAAAACACTATTAGAGTGTAAAAATAGGTTTTAATAAAAGCAATACATTTTTGAGGAAAAATTGTTACCAGCAATATATTTCTGAAGAAAAAAATATTACTAGTAATACCTTTTGAAGAAAAAAATATTACCAGCAATATGTTGTTTTTTTTTAAATATTACCAGCAATACGTTTTTTAAAATATTACCAACAATAAAAAATCTTGTCGGCATTAAATAATACCATTGAGTTTGTTGTGTCATAAAAACAAAACAAACCAAATCCGATTATAGGTCATCTTCTGTCCTTGTAATGTCCGTTGTCTCTTTTCACTGAACTAAATCATATCACTCTTTTTCTGCACCTATACAACATAGGTATTAAACTGAAGACTCTCATTGATTTTTTTCTTCTGTCACCTCCCATCTGTGTTATACACTCAACATTATGATTGTATTACAATTATGAGGTAACTTACCAGGCACAGGTGTGATAAATTGTTTTTGCACTTTCCCGCAAATTGTTTTTTTTTATTTCATTAAAACATTATTCATTCTTTAAATTTCTTTCTTACAATGAATATATATTCCATTGATTCGAACCTATCCTAAAAAAGCTTGTCGGCATTAAATAACCCATTGAGGTGTTGATATGCCGAAAAACAAAACAAACGAAACAAACCTAACTATCAAAAAATTCATTTATGAATTTTTTATTTCAAGTATATATATACCTGTCTATATTTCTGAGATAAGGTATTATGTACACTATTTACATTATTGGGACTATTGCCCTGATCTTTGTCGCCATATTTATTACAACGTTTCGGCCGTTGTACGCTCCAACTTCTTCAGAACATAGTCTGTGTGTACGCTAACCCGTGCAGCTGCGGAAAGAAATATAAAGGGAGACAGGCCGCCCCTTAAGGTAAGGCTTCAAGAACACCAGAAAGCTGTAACACGAGGGGAAGTGGAAAAAATCAGGCGTGGCTGACCACATATGGAGAGAAAAGGAGATGACCGCCCCTTTGGGATAAGATTGAGATCATAAGCAAAGAACAACATTGAAAAATTCGTAAACTTAAGGAATCAGCATATATGCTAGGCTATAAAAATATCCTGAGCCGACCAAGCATAGAAATGAATACAATATGGGATCCAGTAATAAGGAGTGCCAGAGAAAAGCAATAATAACAAAAAAAATTGCAATATGAGCTCTGGTAAAAAAATGCAATGATAACAGCAAAAATTGCAATATGAGCACTGGTAAAAATGGTTGCTGAAGACATTAGGTTTATAATACCCAAAATTCATACACAGACCTCAAGGACACATGGCACCGTGGATAAAGGCCTTAGTTAGATCTAGGGACAGGACCCATAGAGTGTGAGTTCAATACCTGGATAAGGCGTTGGAGAACTTGAATAGGGTAATTAACAGAAATAACTGATAACTGACATCCATTGGACATGGCACGTGGAACTAGAACCGTTTATCCCAATAAGCGAAATAAAGGGTTCAGTTAGACATTCCAACCACCTGAAGAAGGCCGGAGCGTTTGTAATAAATATCGCGACAAAGATGCAGACAATGGTCTGAATAATGTAAATACTGTTTAGAATAAAACATTTGAATTGTGTTCTAATATATTGCCGTATAACTACAAAAAAATATTCGTTCCTAATGATTAAAATGTCCTCTTTGTTTATTTAATCTCAATCTCTTTTAGAATTATCTTAAAATATAATATACCCTTCATCCGGAACATGAAAAAAAAAAAGTTTACGTTTTTTTTGCAAACTTGAATAATGCTCTTCAAACTAATGTCAACATTAATTAATGATCACCTTGCGATCGTACAGTACGGCGTTGGTTTCTGGCTCCGCAGTGGGGGATACGAGTCATAAAATTAAATTAATTGAGAATGTCTATTTGCATTTGACATTCAACATCTGAGAACACCAGGCGAACAACGCCCTATATCAAATTGTCAGAACCGTCTCAGATATGGATGACAGCCTTTTAATAATGCTGGACCATCTCAAGAAAATTGGCAAGATAAGAAACTCGAAAAACGGCTTACACATGAATTTGAGTTTGAGGTTTTATATGCATTTTCATTGAATAGTGACCGGATCCTTTTGATAATTTTAAATGTGAAGAAACCCAACTGATTCAATATAATGACTCCAGTTCATGTCAGTGGAAAACATGATCCCAGAAGTCGCAAAAGTTTATCTAATTCCGTAATACTGTAACATCAAATATAAATGGGAGATTTATATACAATCAATAAGTTCAACATCTTGTATACAATAATTTATGTCCCGATCCTTATGACAATAATAAACGTTTAGCTTGATCATACCAAAGAAGCCAACCACTTTCCAAAAACCAAAATTGCACCAACAGACAATATTGACTGTCTGGTGGTCCGCCACTACATTATCTACAGATTTCTGGAATCTAAGAGATCACAGTTGAAGTTTGCCACCAACTGGATGAAATTCAAACAGTTAAGCAAAATGCAACTTATAGTGGCTTATCGACGTTGTCCAATTATGTTCCATGTCAGTTCTCGATCCCATATTACTAGGATCACATTTAGAAGATCCTCGACTTCAGATACGATATTTTGCTACATCCACCATATTCCTCTTTCTCTCGCTCCCTAAAGAATATTTTAAAGCATTTTAATAATGTTTTCAAACCAGAAGATGCAGACATTGTATTCAATGATTTCTTGCCGTCCAAAAATTTAGGGTTTATCATAAAAAGCATAAATAATCTTGTAACTCGATTGTCGAAATGTATAGATACGCACTGTTCCTGTACTGATTTTTGCGTCCTTTTAAATACATTCATTCAGAATAAAATCGGACATTATTTTACGAACAATCTAATAGATTTGTTTTCTTCTCATCCCAAACCATTGTAGAGGCAAAGGGCCTCTAATTCGACATCACTTTAATCCGATCAACACTAATTTTCTTCTAACAATCCAGTAAACAGAAACAAATTCAGTTACCCGGTCTTCTTTTATGACTATGAAACGTTTCTCGTTTGATATTTTACAAATAATAAAGGGTGTCCATAAAGTTTGTGTGCACTTTAAAAATTTATTTGTATTTGCGATAGAAATTATCTGTAAAAATGTTATAAAGTTTAATGTACCTAGTTTTAAAAAATATAGTTAATAAATAATTCTTTACCACGAATGTTATTTCAGGCATTACTGTAAATCAGTTTTCCGTGAACTGCAAAATCGTATTACCCTTTGTATTGCTAATGATGGGGGGACCTGTGGAAACTTAAATAAAATTTCAATAAAACTTCAACAAATATAGATTTACTTCTTTCTAATTCCTTTTTACAAATTATTTCTATCGCAAATATAAATGTTAGAAATTTTTAAAGTGCACACGAACTTTGTGGGCACCCTGTATTTGTTACATTTTTCTCTTAATCTACGGTTAAGAGAATATATATTATGTAAAATTAGTGAAAGGAATTTCCGCGCTGGACGACGTGGTATTAGCAAATAAGGAATAATGGCACCGTGATAAGATTTGTAAGCAGAAGTAATGAAGCCTAAATTATTTTATGTTATAGAGAAGAATTTTGTCTCCGGAAACAAATTGTTAAATCAAAGTAGTATGTACCTCTGATTACCACGTCGGGAAACAGAATCTTCGGGAAAAGTCTTTAAACTAATAAGCGCGTGGTGAGATCAGCTGCAGATAAGTACATAAGGGCCAATCACGGCCAATTTCACAGGATATCGGTCGGAAATAACTATACAGGAAAAAGAGAAGAGCATGGGTTTACAGCAATAGATACATGAAAATAGGTGATAGATGAAGGAACATTAAGTTGTTATACAGATTTATGTCATTCCTATCTCTCTCTCATTGTGGCCAGAAGAAGAACAAGTTGATAATTGCTTTAATGCATTGTGTTTGTTTATTTGTTTCCTAATTGTTTTGTGGAAAGACAAACCACCTACGCTACACTAAATTGTTGAATATAGATTCTTCCATTCACTATGGAGAAGAACTTAAGCTTCATAGGAAAGAAATCGCGGTTTCAAACGCATCGCCGTTCTAACTTCAGTATTCGCTATCATTGCATTATTAATCCTTGTAATTAAAAACTTCTTAACTAATCTCTTGATACAATGTTTTTCTTGGAATATTATTAACAACTATGCATTTATACAAGCATGGCAACACCAGGAAAGGAAGAGAATCACTGGGTTAGTCCCGTTGTTATATTTGCTGGATGTATCATCCGTATTTTTCAGCAATCAACCGCTTTGGAGGTACAAATTCAGCCGAAAAATAAAGGTTAAACAAATGATACATATCAGTAATAACATAGAGTTGTGTCATCATATTAAGGTTACTTGGCTGGGTTGGGCTACTTTACGGAATGCAATTTTTGTAACCCGGTCTCATCAAGCGAAATATATCGTTGCAAAAGATCATGACGATATTACAGAAAATTCTGCTCAGTCAACCTGGAGGTCTTCATTTAATAATGCGTCTAATCTGTATTTATCATTTTGGTAAAAACCGAGTTGACAGATTCCTCATCCCGATCTGCTCACGAATTATATACCCTACGCATTCAGTGGATATTTTGAAGTTTTTTTACCATTTCTTTTTTCTAAGATTCAAAGTTAGATGATTAAAATAATCAATAATTTCAAATGATGATATTGTACAAAGTCATCCAAACACTGCTGTATATTAGGTGTCATAATAACCACGCAGAAAATTAGCAAACTATTTCTATACAGTCAAATATGACGAGTACATGTGATACGATGGCTGCATTATAAACTAATGGATTCCCGTGAGAGTGATTTATTTTTACATATGGACGTCTCAGGGTTCAACAGTTCAATATTCCACATTCCATTGATCGGAGAAATTGATATTTTACAATATAAGTACAATATTTGCAGCCATAATGGCAATATAGCGATTAGACTTTGCGAAGTGGGTTGGACAAAAAACTTTTCATCACCCCCTAGTATAAATGTTTATATAAACTTTTTACATCAAAAACATACCTAGATGCATCAGAATGTGCATTTTTGTCACATTTTCACATAAGGTTATAATATCCCGTTTCAATAGTCATAAATAGCTTATATTATGTAATTATTGCATTTGTGGCACGTACGAAACACAATAATATTTTAGATTAATTGTGGAAATTCAGGATTATTAAATCCTATGTACATTATTTAAAATTGGTAATACCGTCATCGTTGTTGTTATTATCACGTTCATGGGTGGTCTTTGGCGTTCTTCGTGTATCTGTTGATGTGGGTAACTTTCGCTGAAACACTTATTCTGTTTACTCAGCTATCTTGTTCCATGTCACTATCCTTGTCTAAGGATATCTCGTTTTTGTTAATTGACTTTTTAGCACTGGGCAGTTCTGGCTGGAATTGTTTTCACTGTGTTTGTGTATACGCATACTAGCAGACCTAGGATCAATAGCATAGACATTTTGCGTTCAATCCCCTAAATGAATTTTTAAAAATATCTCCTTTTTCTTTATCTACAAGGCTCATGGGAGATAACAGGACGCTACGGCAGCTGTATCCCTAAGACAGAGGAATGAAATATTCGCTTCAGGGCTTCCTGAGGTTTACCAGTCTAAGAACACACTTGATAAAAGCTAAATGTTATATTCAGCAAGGCGAAAGAAAACACGAATAATGGTGAACACAGAACGATATTCCGAAACTCTTATAATAAAGACTTGTGATAAAGTTGATAAAACACGTGACTTTTTCAATAATGTGCTATAGCAACCATTACTTACTTCATCTCACAATCGAAGCAAGAATAATATGAGGAAATAACATCATTAATAAACCGAAAATGCTCTTTAAAACGTTAAGACGACTACTGATTAAGAAAGAAAAGAAGGAAAATCAAAGTAGTTTGGTTTGGTTTGGTTTATTTTACGGCATATCAACACCTCAATGGGTTATTTAATGCGACAAAATTTTTATTGCTGCTAATATGTTTTCTTCAAAATCTATATCTGCGAATATTTTTCCTTGAAGAAATCTATAGCAGGTCATATTTTTTTCAAAGAATGTATAGCTGTTTGTATTGCTGGTACTTTTTTTAAAAGTATTGCTGATAATAATTTTTCCTTGAAAAAATATTCCTGGTAATATTTTTATTTTTTAATACAAATTATTTGTAAGTAAGCATAGTTTTCAAAGGCCATTTTCAGCAAATAGATTTTGACTTTTATATGTGTCTAGCGTAAAATGTCATTCTAACTGAATATTAATCTGAATCTTTACAGAATAATGTTTTTATTCATGCCTGATTAATGTCTGACATCAAATTAACTGACAAAAAATGTTTGAATATGTGCGTTGACAAGGAGATATAAAATTAAATGTTTATTGTTAGAAAAATATATTTTTTCCGCATTAAACTTCGATTTATTGATAAACAAGTCTATCATCAATTTCTTCTTTTATGAGTCGTATCCTCTCATGACGTAGTCAGTCATGGCGCTCCACAACTTCCTGTCCTTTGTAGCTCTTAATGAACTTTATCTTTCTATTTTCCCTAAACTTCGTACTGCTATTCATTTTACTGAAGATCACTTGTTATGAGTTGCTTTCCTTTGTTCCTCAATCTGTCCCGTGAGTATCAGGTTTTTCCAAGCCCTCTTTCCTCAATGTGTTCCCAGAAACCTTAACTGTCTCTTCTGATATTAAGTATTAGTTTTTTGTGTTTATTTTCCAAAAATATATGTTTCTATCCATGGTATCTCAGCATCCTTCTGTAGAACTGCACATCTGTTGCTCTATGTCCTCTTTATCTTTAAGAAATGGTCCAAGAACCTCAATGCCGTACAGGAGGACAGATATGACATTGCAGTTTATAATAATTTACTTTCTCTAAATGCTTTTTTCTATTTGTCTAAAGATTTCTATTCTCAGGTCTTTTATATATTCTTATATGTAAATGGGCTCTCCCTTACCTCTCTCTATCTATCTCTCTCCCTCCCCTTACTCCTCTCCCTCTCTCTCATCCCTATCTCCCTCTCTTTCTTTCTCCTCTCTCTGTCCCTCTCTCTCCTTCTCTCCCTTTCTCTCTACCTTACTCTCTCTCCCTCTCTCTCTCTCCCTATCTCTCTAACTTACTCTCTCTCCCTCTCTCTCCCTCTCTCTCCTCTCTCTCCCTATATCCCTCTCTCTCTCTCTTTACCTCTCTCTCCCTCTCTCCCACTCTCTCTTTCTCCCTTACTCTCTCTCTCCCTATCTCCCTCTCTCTCTTCCTCTCTCTCTCTTTACCTCTCTCCCCTCTCTCCCTCTCTCTTTCTCCCTTACTCTCTCTCCCTATCTCCCTCTCTCTCTTCCTCTCTCTCTCTTTATCTCTCCCCTCTCTCCTCTCTTTTCTCTCTCTCTCCCTCTCTCCCTACCTCTCTCCCTCTCTCCTTACTCTCTCTTCCTCTCTTTTTCCCCCGCCTCTCTCTCTCCCCTTCCTCTCTCCTCTCTCTCTCCTTACTCTCTCTTTCTCTCTCTCCCTTAATCTCTCTCCCTTACTCTCTCTCTCCCTCTCTTTCTCCCTCTCTCTCCCTTACTCTCTCTCCTCTCTCTCTCCCTCTCTCCCTCCCTCTCCCTCTCTCCCCTCTCTCTATCCCTTCTCTCTCCTCTCTTTCTCCCTCTCTTTCTCCCTCTCTCTCTCCCTTACTCTTTCTCCCTCTCTTTCTCCCTCTCTCTCTCCCTTACTCTCTCTCCCTCTCTTTCTCTCTCTTCCTTACTCTCTCTCCCTCTCTCTCTCTTACTCTCTCTCTCTCCCTTATCTTTCTCTATCATTTTCCCTCTCCCGCTTACACTCCTGTATCTTTCTATATCCCTTTCTGCCTCCCTCAATCACCCTCTCTCTTTCTTCATTTCTTTCTATCTTCCTTCTACTCCCCCTTTCTCTATCTCATGCACTTTTTCTCTCCCTTTGCCCTCTCTCAGTTCTCTCTATCTGTTAGCATCTACACCTTTTATTCACTTTTCTTTTATCTATTTTCATATCCCTGCCACTCTTCCTATTTTCTTCTAGCTGTTCCTCCCACTTTTTTCCCTATTTGTTTCTATCTTCACTTACCCCTCCGTCTCTTTTCTTTCTATCTCCTCTTAATATCACGTCTCTATCTCTATCTCACTTTACTCTCCCACCTCTTTCTCTGCTTGTTTTTATCTTCCTCTTACGCCCCACTGTCTCTGTTCTTCCCTATCTCTGCATCTCACCTTTATTCTACCTATTCCTATCTGAAGCTCATTTTTCGCGCGCTTTCAGCGTATCTCCTCGTCGACTGCAGACGTCAATCGCTGATGCCGCTGCTTCTCGTGATGAAACTATTCTGCAAGTTTAAATTCTCGTTGAAAAACGGAAACAGTTGTCTCTGAGAAACGAAAAGGATATGGAAGAAAACATTAAGAAGATACTGTCTTTTTCTAAAATAAAATTGACAACTAAAAAAAATGTCTGCGCCAGTTTATCCTGTGGCTTTCCTTATCCAAACTTCTTCCGCATTCTTCCCAATAAATGGTGAAGAAAACAGCGTGAATCCCCAAGGACGCAACAGATAATCATGGCAATGGTTTGAAGAAGAAGAAGAAGAAGAAGAAGAAGAAGAAGAAGAAGAAGAAGAAGATAATAAAAAATAATGGTGATAATGATTGGTGATGACGATGATAATGATTGCAAAATCGAATTTGAAGAAAGAAAGAAAGAAAGAAAAGAAAGAAAAAAGAAAGAAAGAAAGAAAAAAGAAAGAAAAGAAAGAAAGAATAAAAAGAAGAAAAGAATGAAGGAATGGATGAGATGATTATGAAGAAAAAAAAAAAAGAAAATATGAGACGGGGTCGATATGAAGAAGCTAAAAGAAAGAAAGAGAAAAAATGAGGAGAAATAAATTAAAAAAGAAGGGAAAATGCAAGAAATGACTAAAAATAAGAATGAAAGAATTGCGAAGAAAAAATGGAGAATCTGCAAATGAAGAAGAAAAAAGAAAAACAAATACAGGAAGAAAAAGAAAGAAAAGGAAAAAAGAGAAGAACAGAAGGAGAAAGAAAGAAATCAACAAAAAAGAAAAAAGATAACGATAAAGAAGAATAAAGATGAGGGAAAAAGAAAGATGAAATATGAGAAGGTAAAAAGATAAAAAAACAAAAAGCATGAGAAAGGGACGACAAGAAGACTAAAATCGTACAAAATGGCAGAGAATTTGTGAAGTCAACTAGACGTATACATCTGCGCATGCGTACATATGCGTGTGTATGTTAATCAAGAAAGGAAGGTGAAACTAAGAAATACAATAAGCCTACTTAAAACAAAGGCAAAAAGATTGAGTGAATAAAACAAAAAATAAAATAAAATAAATCAAGGAAAAGTTCAGACAAATAAAAAACGAAATCGAACTGGAAAGATGCTACGAAGGGGAAAGGAACAGACGTTAAAAATGGAATTAGCGTTTCCAAGTACACGCCTGAAAAAAAAAATGCTAAATCGCTAGCAAGAAAAATGGCAAAATTCCGCACGCAAAATTAATTATCGAAACACGACCACCAAATAAATAAAAACTGAAGCGTGTAATGAAAGGAAAAAGAAAAAAAAGTTCTCAAACCGTTCGGACATCAGGAGAATTCGAAATGTAAACATCTACAGCGAAGCAAAAATATTGAATCACATGCCTAAAAAGTTTTTGAAATGTGATCGCTCATTGGATAGAAGCTAAGATATAAAATCACCCCAAGACGCAGAATATTGATGGCATCATCTTTGACCGAAGAGAACAGTTAATGTCTGGCAACAATATAAAGTGTTCATCATGAAACACACTGGAATTTCCGTTGCTCCGTTCTGCGTTGTTATATATTTTATGTCCTCTTTGTTGCATATTCTATTAGTCATTTTTAACGTACTAAACTACTCAGCATGATTTCTATTTTCTAATACAGGGTGTGTATGTGTGTGACTTCAGTTTAAACTCCAAAATTACAAGATATAGACCGTTAAAACCCTATGTCTTCTGTTCAGTATATTTTGAAAATGGTTTTGATAAACGATTTATTTTTTTTATTCTTTATATAAGCGAATGAAAATTAAGAAAAAAAAAAACGCCATGACGTAACTTCTATGATAACTGTTTTGATGAACTTTGGTACCTAGATTTTATGAATTCAAGGGCAGTACTGACTACAAGGTGCCATAATTTTAACAGTTGAATTGATTAGATATGACCGCAAGTTCTATGCTAATAGTTTCTTTTCTCACACTTCTCGTCTGTGGAACTCTCTTTCGTGCTCTTGCTTTCCAGCCAACGTTGAACTTCAAAAAATTAGATTCAATGTCAATCGTTATCTACTGTATTCTTGATTCCTCTTTTTTTTATTGTTCTCTCCTTAATAATATTTTTCTTTTTCTTATTCTTTACACTCAGTAGCTCACTGTATCTTAGTGGCTTTATTGCCTTACTTTGGGGGTAACATGATTAAGAAATATAATAGTTAGCATTAATTAACTTAACAAATAAACAACAATAGTGAAGAATTGCAATAAAATGTATGCAAAAAATGTTTACTGAAACATTATGTTTAAAAATTCACAAAATTTTTCACGGGACCATGTGTCCTTGGAGACACATGGTCCAGTCGCAAAAAGCGTTGGTTGAAGTAATCCTAAAAAAGATGTGAGTTCAATACCTAGTCACAGTAGACGAACAAAAACTTGAGAAATTGAGTTACTAAAGGGAATTAACTGATTATGAGATAGCCCCCCGCCCCGAAAAAATGCATGGCACATGGAATTATAACAATCTACCCCCGTGGATTAAATAAAGGTTTTGGTTCGAAATTTTAACGTATATCACCTGAAGAGGGCTGGGGAGTACAGCGGCCGAAACGTTGTAAATATGGGAATAAAGATGAAAACAGTAGGAACGATGTAAATAGTGTAAATAAATATGCCGATATTTTAGCGTTTCAAATTTAAACCTGATGTCACTTAATTATCTTTTAACAATTAATAGAGACAAAACTAATAAATGAATAAGGAGTAAATGAATTAGTCGATACTATACTGATAAAAGTTCTACTAATTAACGCATAGTTGGAGGACAAGAGTAGAAGGCATACTAAACCAAGTGTATTTATATGCAAGTGAATATAACACACCCGATTGCCTCCCCACGATTTCTAATTCTGAGCCATTCCAACCCTTCCAGAATTATAACACTGCGTGGTATTCCCTAAGCGGTTAGACATCTAGTTATTGACCAGGCTCAATGGTGCTAAACTTATGATAATTGGTGTAATAGTAATGATCAATAATGTATGATTCGGAGTAGAAGGGGAGATAATAGGAAGTGAATATTATGTGGATAAGGAGGATAGATATTGTCGGAGTTAACTCCTCCTTAATTTCTTAATTGTCCACTAGGGCACGCTCTCCCTACAATATAAATACTGGGCATTTTATTACCTCTTTCTCTTCTTTTTTAATTTTGCATTTCAGCGGATCTGAGTTCTTGCCCACTTGTGAGAAAACTCCAAGAAACACATATACACGTACGTACGAACATTCACCAAAATACAAACTCTTTACGTTCACACACAAAAACACAAATGTTAATGTCTACGTCCATTGTAAATCTTGTTTAATACATATATTTGTTGATATATATATATATATATATATATATATATATATATATATATATATATATATATATATCGGTCTTGTTGGTTTTCTTTACACTTCTTTATGGTGGATTCAATCTCCGAGTCCGCCATGTTCTTGTAGTGGATCTTCTAGCAGGAATAAAGCACGTGTTTCCTAATTTAATAACAGGTAAACCCACACGGTCCGCTACAACATAAATTGACCATTAACTTAAAAGCATCAAACCAAGAAACTGTTCCACAAAGTGGGAAAATGGCCTCTCAGTGGAACTCCCTTCCGACATTTTGAATAGAGAGGAAATGATGGTGGTACGACTCCGGGGAAGCAGAATGGATTCTCTTAGTTATATAGGACTGAATTTGTGAAACTAAAAAAATGAAGACCGCCCGGATATTCAGTATGGTAACAGCAATGGAATAGCGATAGCCTTGAAAGTTTGCGTTTGATTGAAAGAGGCTATAAAGTGAAAAAGAAAAAGACTTCCCCCACAAGACTGTGTAAACGAATCCTAGTTTTATCAATGCTTGAAAGTGTAAACTGACCAACACCAGCCCAGACGTGGCAGCAACACACCATTTTTGGTGTCATCTAACTTTTGCATAGCAGAACGAATCAGGTATTAGTTTAAACGATTAATATAGCCAATCAATTAGCAATGCATAAAAAGTTATTCATATTTAAGATAAGAAAGATCGTGTACAAAAAAAAAAAAAAAAAATCAACATCCTCTACCATGTTTCCCAAGAAATAATATTGGGGATAAACTTTTCGAAACCAGAAACTATGATCTGGTAGGAAGGCAATGTTGCAACTAACCTAGAAGCCATAAAAAAATTTAAGATGTGGAATTGGTAAATACTAAAATACTTCTGTAAATGGATCAGCTCTAACAAAGTTCGTATAAAATAGACATAACGTAGGTTGGGCTTGGAGTAGATTTCCACAATATCCCAAGGGTATTTACACGTAAATGAATATAACGAAGCCGACTGGAATTAGAACTCGCTTCTTCGATTTTGAATTTCAAGCCATTATACGTTACACCACCCGCAGATCGAAGCTTACAACACCCCATATTCTCATGTTGTACTCCATCTTGATACTGATCAGGCTCGACGTTGACTAACATTTGGTGATCGTACGGGGGACAGATGTTTCAACGCGATATGACCAGGGATCATCTTTCTCCGACTCTTGTGGAGTGGCGCAACAGAATAATAATAATAATAATAATAATAATAATAATAATAAGGAGTTACCTTTCTTCTACCCAAAAATAGTGACACAAATATTCCGAAAACTATAGACCAATTACATGTCTTCCAACAACATACAAACTGTTAACATCTATTTTAACAAAACAGACATATTTCTTCTTGGAAAGAAATGACATACTACCACTTGAACAAAAAGGGTGCAAACGAGGCTGCTACGGATGTAAAGACCAATTACTTATTAATAGGATGATCCTGGAAAACTGCTTCCGTGAAAAAAAAAATCTTAGTATTGCCTGGATAGATTATCGTAAAGCATTCGATAGTGTACCACATTCCTGGATCTTAAAGTCTTTAAGTATGTACAAGGTATCACCCGTTATCATCAATTTCATCAAACAATGTATGTCGATATGGAAAACTACACTTTACCTCAATCATAAAAATGGAACCTATAAGTCTGGCGAAATAAACATCAATAGAGGAATATTTCAAGGTGACTCTTTGTCTCCTTTATTATTTTGCATATCACTTATAGCATTAACCAGCCAACTTAACAAGACAGAATGCGGTTACAAAATAGCTCAAAAGAAAATAAACCATCTATTTTACATGGATGACTTAAAATTGTATGCTAGGAATGACAATGAGCTGGAAGGTCTTCTGCAAACTGTAAAATGCTTCAGTGAAGACATCGGAATGAAATTCAATTTGGATAAATGTGCTAAAGCTACAGTTTTACGAGGATCGCTACAACAAACTTCCTCTATTAGTTTAGACCCTGCTGTAACAATAAAAGATTTAGAACAAGGAGAAGCTTATAAGTACCTAGGTGTAAATGAGAGTGAAGGAATTCACCATAAGAAAATGAAAGAAATAGTGCGTAAAGAGTACTATAGAAGGGTACGACTGGTATTAAAAACTGAATTGAATTCTCAGAACAGAATTATGGCCATTAATAACCTAGCCATCCCAGTGGTCCAATATAGTTTCAACATCTTGAACTGGACTCTAAATGACATCAGACAAATGGATTCTAAAACAAGAAAGCTTCTTTCTAAGTATAAGATGCATCATCCAAAGGCTGATATAGACCGTCTATACATACCCCGTAAAGAAGGTGGAAGAGGTCTTATTCAGCTAGAATTGTCATACAAGACAACAACTATTGGCTTACTAACTTACATGGAAACAACAAATGACTGGATGATAAAATTAGTGAAACAACATGAAAACAGAAAGAAAAAAATATTCAATAATAAAAGAAGGCAGTAAATACAAA